AGGCCAAAATTCACATTTTCCCTCATGTGGATTATAGACCTAAAAAAATTCAGTAATATTATTGGACATGGGTCACAACTAAGGGGAAAACAGCATAGATGGAATAGGGAAAGGAAAGGAAACCTAAAACTTGAATGCAGTTGATGTGCTCCCTGAAGAGGAGCGAATATGGTAATCTTAAACTGTCAGAGACAGCTTAAGAAAGATATGGGAAGGGAACTAGAAAGTGGTGAAAAGATTAGGTTGAGAGATGAACCCATGTGGGTTGTAATACACATGTATATGGAAGCAATGCTAGGAATCTTTCTGTATAGCTATCTTTACCTCAAACTAGCAAAAAATGCTATGTCTCTCTTATTATCTCTTATGTTTTCTTTTCAACAAAATCAGAGAATAAGAGAGTGGAACAGGTTCTGCTTGGAAACCTGGTGGAGGTGGGGGTGGCCCAAACAATGTATACACATGTGAGTAAATGTAAAAAGTATAAAATTAAAAAAAAAGAAAATCTCTTATTGTTATTGTAGAGTACTGCATTTCTCCCTTCAGCCCTGAAAATATTTGCCTCATATGTTTAAAAGTTCTGATGTTTGGTATATATATGTTTGTAATTACTAGATGTTTTTGTTGAATTCTCCCTTTTATAATGTCCTTCATTGTCTCTTGGAATGTTTTTAATTAGGCATTTTGTGTATATTCTGTAAGCTTTCTTTATTTTTTTTCTTGATTTTATTTTTTCCCTCAGACTCAATAATTTCAAATGACTTGTCCTCAAATTGGTGATTCTTCTGCACATGTGAATCTGCTATCGAATTACCTTAGAGAATTTTGTAGTTAAGTTATTGTATTTTTCAGCATGACAATTTCTGTTTGGTTCATTTTTCATAAATTCTATCTGTCAATATTTTAATTTGTTCATGTATAATTTCCTAATTTCATTTATCTGTCTGTCATACTTCCCACTGGCTCTCTGAACAGATTCAACATAGATGTTTTTAAAGTCTTCTTTAAGAAATCCACTGGTTTTGTTTCTTTATTTTACTCCTGAGAATGGGCCATGTTTCCCTCTTTCCGTCTGTGCTTTGTGATCTTTGATCAACAACCAGTGATTTGAAAAACCAGCCACCTCTCTGTCTTTAGGAACTGGCTTTGTGTAGGGAGACTACCATCACTGTTCAGCAGAGTAAGAAGACTCTGGGTTCTTTCAAACATTTTCTAGAGATTTATCTTCCCTGGGTATATGTATGTGTGCTTTTGATCTAGTTCTTGAACTACTTTTAAATATCTCAGTTTCTGAAACTAGATCCATGTATATCACCCTATACCAAGATTAACTCAAAATGGATCAAGGATATTAATATCAGACCACAAACTCTAAAGTTGATACAGGAAAGAGTAAGAAATACTCTGGAATTAGTAGGTATAGGTAAGAACTTTCTCAATGAAACCCAGCAGCACAGCAACTAAGAGATACCATAGATAAATGGGACCTCATAAAACTAAAAAGCTTCTGTTCATCAAAAGAAATGGTCTCTAAACTGAAGAGAATACCCACAAAGTGGGAGAAAATATTTGCCAACTATACATCAGACAAAGGACTGATAACCAGAATATATAGGGAACTTAAAAAACTAAATTCTCCCAAAACTAATGAACCAATAAAGAAATGGGCAAGTGAACTAAACAGAACTTTCTCAAAAGAAGAAATTCAAATGGCCAAAAAACACATGAAAAAATGCTCACCATCTCTAGCAATAAAGGAAATGCAAATTAAAACCACACTAAGATTCCACCTCACCCCTGTTAGAATAGCCATCATCAGCAACACCACCAACAACAGGTGTTGGCGAGGATATGGGGAAAAAGGAACCCTCTTACACTGTTGGTGGGAATGTAAACTAGTACAACCACTCTGGAAAAAAATTTGGAGGCTACTTAAAAAGCTAGACATTGATCTACCATTTGATCCAGCAATACCACTCTTGGGGATATACCCAAAAGACTGTGACACAGGTTACTCCAGAGGCACCTGCACACCCATGTTTATTGTGGCACTATTCACAATAGCCAAGGTATGGAAAGAGCCAAGATGCCCCACAACTGACGAATGGATTAAGAAAATGTGGTATCTATACACAATGGAATTTTATGCAGCCATGAAGAAGAACGAAATGTTATCATTCGCTGGTAAATGGATGGAATTGGAGAACATCATTCTGAGTGAGGTTAGCCTGGCCCAAAAGACCAAAAATCATATGTTCTCCCTCATATGTGAGGGAGATCAAGGGCAAACACAACAATGGGATTGGACTTTGAGCACATGATAAAAGCGAGAGCACACAAGGGAGGGGTGAGGATAGGTAAGACACCTAAAAAACTAGCTAGCATTTGTTGCCCTTAACACAGAGAAACTAAAGCAGATACCTTAAAAGCAACTGAGGCCAATAGGAAAAGGGGACCAGGAACTAGAGAAAAGGTTAGATCAAAGAGAATTAACCTAGAAGGTAACACCCACGCACAGGAAATCAATGTGAGTCAATGCCCTGTATAGCTATCCTTATCTCAACCAGCAAAAACCCTTGTTCCTTCCTGTTATTGCTTATACTCTCTCTACAACAAAATTAGAAATAAGGGCAAAATAGTTTCTGCTGGTTATTGGCGGGGGGAGAGGGAGGAGGCGGAGTGGGTGGTAAGGGAGGGGGTGGGGGCAGGGGGGAGAAATGAACCAAGCCTTGTATGCACATATGAATAATAAATTTTTTTTTTAAAAAATCTCAGTTTCCCTGAGAATCCTGCTCCTAATCTCTTGCCTCCATGCACCAGAAAGTCTGCAATCTTCCTGAAGTTCTTGCCTGCCTATTTCTGTAATCTGGAATCTAATACTCCATCTATTATGGTCGTATCAGTGATCCAAAGTCAAGCAAGGGAAAAATCTTCCCTCACCCAGTCACAACCAATCAGAATGTTGCATGAAAGTGTCATCATCTTCCTTTTATGCCAAGGGAGGACCAGGAAATTAGAGCCTCCTACTGACTATACAACGTGTTTCCAGAGTTTGGATTGTGTTATGGATGATCAAAGCAACCATGAAATTTCCTTCTGCCAGTCTGTCATGGTTAAAGTATCATTTGGTTACTCCAGCTTTTTTTCACTGGTTTCTAGTTTCCATGAAAGTTTTTTTGTGTGAATATTCTTGTTTATTCAGTCTTTCTGGGATGACACTAGCCCCTGAAACATCCTACTTCATCATCTTGCTGATGTCATTACTGCCAAGAACTATCTTATACATCACTTAGTTCATTGTTTTATTTTACCTCATTGACTAGTATTAGAAAAAACTTATGTAAATGGTAAGTTAATAAGTAAATTAACTGAAAATATTCTTTCATTAATGGTTATGCCGATTTGTACTTACAATTAGAAATAAAAGTATTGTTTCTACATACCTTCCCCTATAATGTTTGTGACCCTTTAATTTTTGTCAATGTATTATGAACCAATAGGTCTCTTCCAAAAAAGATGAGTTATATTTCTACCTTAGTAATTATGCTGGATAGGTTTTGTACCCTATTTTAAAGATTATTGATTTTTTCTTTCTTCTCATTTGGTTTTTAAAACTGCATATTCATGGTTTTGCCCAGTATTTTATAGGAACGGTTTCTTGCTTACTACTCTTCTTAACATTTTTCTTTTTGCAGTACTGGGGTTCAAACTCAGGGCTTCATGCTTACTAGACAGGTACTCTGCTATAGGAGGCATACCTCCAGCTCATGCTTGCTTACTCCTAATTTATGCGAATCCTATGCTTCTGAAGAAAATAGTTCCTATTAGTCCAATTGGTATTATACATTTTCCAAGTTACAGTTTCCTTTCCATTATTTTAATATACTTTCTGCCACTTAAAATTTAATCTTTAATATCCTCACTTTTAAACTTTGTAATTACATGTACAAAATATAATGGGTTTCATTATTACATTTTCATAGTTGTATAGTATGTATTTTGGTCATATTTACCTCTCATCACACTCAATTCTCTCCATCCTCCTAGGCAAATAGTCTATCATCTGCTCTCATGTCTTCATTTATAGATTTAGCTGTGCTGGCAACAGTACACAGAGCCTTACCCGTGGCTCTACCACTTGAGATGCACCCTCAGCCCTTTTAAAATTATAATTTCGTTTTTGAGACTCCTGTCTCAAAACTGATACCATTCCCCAAGCAGTCCTTGAACTTGAGGGAAATACGATTAAGTTTATTCATTTTCTTATAAACTATCCATGTGGGAAAGAAAAATATATAAATACTTGGAAGAAAAATGACTGATTGTTTTGTTTTGGTTCAGTTCCCTCATTTTGAAGGTTTAGTCACTGCTGTTTGATTAAATAACTAATAATGAACCATTTACCTTTAATTTCATAGGCATTTGTCCCACATTTTACTATTGTGAAGAGGGCTACCCATTTTTAGGTTCTCACTTCATATTAGCTGTTAGAAAGACTAACATAGTTCTTATAAACATAGTAAAGTTGTAGGTATAAAATCAGAGAAAACACCTTTGTACCCACAAGAGGACAAGAGCTCCACCTGGCCACTTGCAGGCTGGTCTAGTCCTCTCTGTTTACAGCATAGATCCACCAAAGGCTGGCTTTCCTCACCTTCCACCAAGGTGCAGTGATCACCACCTGACCCACCCTCCTGAGCCAAGCTTCTCACCCAGCCAGGTAAGGACTGAGCCCTAGCTGCTAACACAGAGCTGTGAGGATGACACTAGCAAAAACAAGCAAAAATCTGTGAGGCTCAATAAAGAAGACTTTATTATTTTGTAACTCAGAAAAAGAGGGGACATGAGCATCTGGGTAGAGTACAGAGCCTTCACAGGAATATTTCAACATCTCAGAACCCAGAGCATAGAGGCAAGAAGGAGAAGGAGCAACAGGCTGCCGTAGGTCTTCTGTACTTCAGTTCCTCCAGCATTCTTGCCTAAGGTCCTCACAGCTCAGGTCAGCAGCAGTCAGAGCCTCCAGACTGCTGGCCACTGCCACAGCAGCCACTGCTACCTCCACTGCTGCAACAGCCACTGCTGCCACCACTGTCACAGCAGCCAGAGCTCTGGTGTCTGCGTCGGAGAGATCGGCGGGGTCTGTGGTGGCTCAGGCAGCAGCCACCACCCCCAGAGCTGCAGCAGCCCCCAGAGCTGGAGCCACAGCAGCCCCCAGAACCAAGGCTGCAGCAGGAAGAGGCTGGAGGGCACTTAGGGGGACACTTTGGGGGACATTTTGGGGTCTGGCACTTGGGAGGGCACTTGGTGCACTTGGGAGGAGGCTGGCACTGCTGCTGGCTCTGCTGGCAAGACATCTCTGTGGTCAGACTTTCAGGAGCTGAATGAAGGGGAAATGATATAAAGTCAGACCCACAATACAAGGCCACCCTACTCTGACCCTCTTATCATCAATTTTAATCAAGGAAACACATCTCTAATAGTTTTATTAATTCCTTTTCTTAGCTTTTATTTAGTTTTCTATAAGCTCCTCTTTTATTAAAATAAAATGACTGCTAACGGTGTGGTGAATATGATCAAAGTACATTATCTACATGTATGAGAATATCTAAGCAAAGCCTTTTAGCACTTTATCATCCTTGCATCATTATAATCATCATTATCTCTTTCAAAGTCAAGTAAGAATTGCTATATATTGTTCAGTAGTAGTAAACTGAACCAAATAAAAGTTTAAAATTGTCCAAGTTAAACATTTATAAGTCACAGAGGTAATTACTTCAAATTTTTCTCCTGACTCTGAAATTCACCAATTTAAGGGTCATTTCAGGGGAAATATATTTTTCAGAGGAAAATGCAATTATTCCCTCTTGTCATAACTTCCAAGGATATTTCACTTTGCAGAACAGTATTGCAAAGGATCTTGGAAATCTCCAAGATTACCAGGTCAGGAAGCTCATTTCCTTGAAGAAAATACTTATAGACCAATCTATGCCAGTAGATTTGAGATTGAACACCAGTCCCCCTCCTTTCAGGCCACAGCACAGATGTCCTCAGCTCACCACCTGCTCAGGCTGAAGGGGTAGCATGTCACATCTCGGGCTGGCAGTGTCCTAATCATCTTGACAAGTGTATGAACAAATCTCATACCTATGGCTCCATGGAGTTTCCTAAGACCAAGAGAGCCCCCTGGTTCCCTGACCTAGCTCCAGATCTTCCTTTGCAGCTATGTATTTTCAGATGTGGGCTCCCTTCCTGAGGTCTGATCAAGTGAAGTCACTCCCTATGCTTCAGTGACCCTTGCCCTCAGTGGCCACTCTACTGAAGAACTGCTTATTCTCTTCCAGAGGCCAAAGGCACAGGCATCCAGTTCTCACTTATGCCTGCCAATGGTGCCAGAGTTCCCATTGTCTCCTACTCCTCAATCTTCCCTTAATTCTCCTCTTCTGTCAAACATGGCCTTCTGCTCCCAATAACCTGACCAGCTTCTGCTCCAGCTCTGGTCTGGCAATCCCTTCGGAGAAGCCTCTGTCCTTTTCCCATTGACACTTACTTGTGGTCACCAGCAGCACAAGATCCGTAGGCACCTCTGCAGGTGAGTGAATGGAGATGCTCTGGTCCTAAGCCCTTTTATCCTGGCCTTGGGCTCCTCCCCAGCCTGTGAGACAAGGCCTAGTCATCAGAAGCCTGGCCTCTTGATGCCCACATGCTCCTGTCACGGATGATGACTGGATGTTCCTCGCCTGCCTTCCTCGTGGGTGTCAGGAAAGCTGCTTCTTGTAGGAATAGTGCTTTTTAGAAACAAAGAGTTGGAATCATGACAATTTATATATGATCTTCTGCTTAATTCTCTTTGGATAATGGCTGTCTTGAGGGTCTCTTATTTCTTATTTTTGAAGCTTGAATCCCCAATTCCTGTTTTCTTCTCGATGTGTATGAAAGCTCATTTGCTCTTGGCACCTGGCTTGACTAAAACTTGTAAATGCCTTCATGTTTCTTCACTTAAATCCAAGTCACCCTGCCAGCTACTAGGAATCAGCAAACATCTTTCCAAAGCTGACATTGATAGCCTGTGTGCCAAGAATGTTTTCTATGTGCTTACATGGTTGAAAAATGAACACTCCTGACATAAATATTATGTTGAATTCAAATTGTATTGTCCATATGTTTTCTTTATTTGAAACCCAGCCACATCCATTCTTTTATTGATTGTGATTCTTTTCACTCTACAACGGCACAGTTGAGTAGTTGGGACAGAGTTGCCATGGTTCATAAATCCTAAATAAAATATTTTATCTTTTTTCCTATATAAAAAAAAAATCACTAGCGCTGGAGGAGTGGCTCAAGCAGAAAGAGTGCCTGCCTAGCAAGTGTGACACTTCTGCTTTCAAACCACAGTGCTACCAAAAGAAAAAAAAATTGCTGATCCCTGGTGGATTCCATTGCCTTGTAAGAATCTTGCAAACAGACTTAGTTTACCATCTTGGCTTTGCCATCTAGTTCCTGTGTGTCTTTGTGTAAATTACTTAACTTGACTCACTTTTAACTCTTTTTGTTTGTTTCTTTCATTAGTTATAAAGTGCAGATAGTGATAAAATGCATCATAGTATATTGAGCTAGTCTAAATATCTAAGATACTATTAGAATCTAAGAAAATAATTTGGCATAATGTCAGTATCATGTTGAACCCTCAAAAACTGAGATGCAAACATATTCCTAAATAGAGGAGAATGTATATAATTTTTAAGACATTGTTGCTTTCAAAAGTTGGTAAATTTGAGCTGGGCACTGGTGGCTCATACCTGTAAATCCTAGTTACTTGGGAGACTGAGATCAGAAGGCTTGTGGTTCAAGGTCAACCCAAAAAGTTTGGGAGACCATATCTCAATGAAAAGAAGTTGGGTGTGGTAGTGCATGCCTATCATCCAGTAACAGTGGGAAACAGTGATCGAGGGAAAAACAGGAGACCCCCATCTCCAAAATAATCTGACCAAAAAAAGGGCTGCACGTGTAGCTTAAGTAGTATAGGGCCTACCTGGCAAGCACAAAGCCATGAGTTCAAACTCCAGTACTGCCAAAAAAAAAAAAAAAGGTAAGTCTGGGATTGAGAGTTGTTTGGTTTTATTCCAAATATGTACTCTTTTGTTTGTGTGTGTTTAAGGCTCCTTGGTTCTAGTAATCATATTGATGTGTTTGACTAGGTACGGCCAGGAAAGGAGTTGTATGGAAGAGCTAGAGAACTCTGCATTGCTCCACATAATTGGAGAGACAAATATCAGAGTTCCTAGGAGTCCTGATGATGGAAAGGTGGAAAATGTAAGGGGAGGAGAGGAAGATGGGAAAGGCTAGGTATTCAGTCCAGGGTCCCTGTTGATGACAGAGGCAGGAAGACCTCTGAGAGTTAAACCCTTGCTCTAGGTTTTTGTTATTGAAAATGGGTTTCTACACTTCTACTTTCAGTAGGTGAAGGGAAAGAGCAGGAATTTACAGATTAAGTTGGTGTACAATTCCCTAGTGAAATTTTCTGAAATAAAACTAATTAGTTAATTAGAAAAGGCACATTAACTCAGAAAGAATACAAGGATAAACTCTCTCCTTCCTGTCAGTGGCAGAAACAGTGGGGAGAATCTGAAGTTTACCAGAAGCTAGAACAATATAATGTGTTAATAATATCTTAGTCATAAAGGAAAGAGTGAAGACAGTTCATTCATAGTTGCAAAATTTAACCTGTTTTTATGCATATGTGTTTGTGTTTAGTGAGAGACTAAATGTGTGTTCATATAACTTTCAAATAGGTTGTGTATTTGTGTAGATACTTTGTGGGCTCTTTGCCTCCCATCTTCTATTTCATTACAACTCTTCTAGAAATAATTGCCTTTGGCCATTTAATATGGTGATTACTCATCCCAGTTTGCCAAGAACAGTTTGGGGTTATGCCTTTTGTCTCAACATATATTATCATAAACCTTTCAATCTCAAATATTTTCCAGTTTGGATGATAATTTATGTACTTATGCTATCATTACACAAAGTCTTTTCAAGGATAAAACCTAAACCACTAACCCTTACATTCAAGGACCTGGCCGGTATGACCCTATTCTGTTTCTATAGGATTTTCTGAGCTTTGCCTATTAATTCTACTTTGTACAAGCTACTCCCTGCCTCACCTGTTTTCCTTTACAACTTTACTTTATCTCTGAAATGAGACTGATTGTTTCTTCAGAGTGGATCTGAATATAATGCACTTTGTAGTCCCCCCTACCCCACAGCTCTTAGAGTAGGGATCTGCATATAGACATTTCATTAGTATTGAGTAGCATCTGAGAATTTGCAAATAACTCTTTCATGTGACTCAACTCCATCACATATGCGACTGACCCTGAGGCATGCACAGAGATAGGTGGTGCCATGTCCCACACAAATGTGCTTCTGTATCACTCATGGATGATACTTGCTTTCAGGTTGTTCCAAAGGGCTTAGTTACAGGAGGAGAGGCCAGGACATGAATTCCTTGGCCACACAGGTAGTACTACTCAGAAGTTCAACTCAAGATTCCTGGAATGATGGAACTGAGATGCCATTGAGCCTTGCCTCAATCTTCATTTGGGGCAACACCCAACTGTCATTTAATTCGACTTGGGTGCAGGTGATAAGTCAGCAGCATGGTGTAGTATCATGAGGACTCATTTCTAAGCTTTGGCTACTAGATTTATATTGCATGGATACCATTTTAATAAAAAACAGTCTATTAATAAGGGATTTATTTTATGAGGACACCTCTCCAGCAAAGGCATCTGTCTCATAGCTCACATTTTTAGAGGATGGGATCACAGCGGAGATCCATGGGAAGTAATTCAAACTGGGTGAATTTCCCTCTGTCCCTCAGCCTCTTCCAGAGATAGGAATTTGTATATTAGAAATTGTAGCTTGTTACCCTCCCTTTTAAAACTTTTATTTAGTATTATATTTTTAAATGCACACTTAAAATATTTATGACTTACAATTCATTGAGAAAGAAAATAATTTTGAGTGAATCAAGGAAAAGGAAATATAAAAGAAAAATGATGTATATATTTAAAACTTTAAAATCCACATAGCAAATACCACCATAAATAAGACAGAAAGAAATGTCATTTGCTGTAACTCACAAGACATTTGCTTGGACATATAAAACATCAACTCTTACAAATTAATAGAAGTTATGCAAGTATGCCAGTAAAAAGAAAGGTCAAAGTCCATGAACAGGTAATTCACAGAATCAGAAAAGAAATAGGAGTGGCCAAAAAATATGCTTAGTAATGCTAATAATCAAAGAATTAAGAAACAAAGGAAAATATCTTGCTTTTTTTCTGCTATAGAGTATCTATCCAATTTATTCATTTA